CATCACCAAACACAGGTGAACAGCTCTTTGTGCAGCAGCGGTTCTGGGGACTGAGTCCTGCAGTCGGTTTTTACTTGTCACGGCTCAATTACTGCAGAAAGAAAGCTGTAACCAGCATCATCACAGGCCAAACAAAAAGACCATTCCCAACAGGCAGGTTTAGAATGATCACTGAACCAGTTAACATCCATTTTAACATCTTGATTATCACCTAAATATTTAAATTAAGCAAAAATGTTGAATCTTGACTGGTTCCAGCTTTTCACAAGCAACAAATGGCTGATTTTGTTTTGTGTTTTATATTATTGTTAATATTTTCCACTGCATATTTAATATATTTGGCTACTGATCAGAAAGAAAGTACATTTTTGACAGGAAAAACCAATCACTTGATAACCGACACATGAAATGCTGCTGAAATAACAAATACTTTTGACCTCAGCCCTGGTACTTCACTAGATAAATGTTTATCTGCAGAGAATCTTGGACCAGAGAAGTCCAAAGTGGAGCCTGCAGCAAAAAGTCATCCTGTGATAACCTCTGATTTGTCCCACCAGATGGGTTTGATAACTCAAGGCCAAAGTGTAGATTACATGATCGATGACAAGCATCTCTACTGGCTGTTGGAGGTGAACACCAGAGCCCATGCGGTTCCCCTGCCTGAGGAGAGGACTGAGACGATGCTGTGTCTACACCGAGCCAGGCTCACACTGACAGTTCTTCAAGATTTGCAATGATCGTGCCATCTGGTATATTAAGGGGACTGACATTTATGAGTGTGTGCCATTTGTTGCAGATATAAATAAATAAATGTAAATTAATAAATAAAAATCAGGATCTAGCAGATTTAAATAGAAAATACTGTAACTACCACCAATGTGAAGCTGACATAACAGTAGTTAATCAACACTTTTTAATATATCTTCAATTATCTAGACCAAACATGATGGACTTAAAGCAGAATGTCCAGGATGCAGGGACAATAACATTGGTGAACTTATTTTGGTGGATTTGCTAATCAGGTGTTCATTTTAATTTAAACTGATAAATCCCTGCAAAGAAAACGGAGGTTGTCGTTTCCCGTGGACAAGACAAAAAATGGTGAAGGTGAAGAGCAGAGGGGCAGGAAAATGCTGCATGAGACACAGAAACATTGACTGTTAAAGAGATATCTCAATCAAGTTTGCAGTGAATCTGAACACCCTCTACATTCGCTACCAAGTGCATTCTATTTAAAAGGGAAGTTAATGCTTCATCTTATTTGGAAAATCTACAGTTATTTGACACGAAACTTGTCATTTGATTATTAGAGCCAGAAAACTGTGCCTGCTGACATCTGTGGAGATTCTTGTAACAACAGAAGACAACAGAGTACAATAGGAACGGAGACGAAAGCGAGTTTAGATGAAAAGAGCCTAGTGAGAGTCAGAACAGAGGAGGAGAGAGTAAGAGCCAACCAAATCAGAACAAAACTGCAGTGTTCAACCCGGCTCCACTCAGCTCTGTCCATGCGGATATTAAATTGCCTCTCAGCTGTCTCTCGTCTGAAGGAGGTTGAACTGTTTTAAAGTCTGAGATCACACTGCCTTTCTGCTGTTCTTTCTACTTCTACGCTGAAGAACCCAGTTCCCTGCTTTGTTGCCAAGGTCCACTCTTTCTCCCACTTCTTTTCTCTTTTTCAGATGAAAGTGACAACACAAAGAGAAATCAATGAGACGCCGTGGCGTGGAAAGGCATTTGATGGAATGCCAGAGTGTTTCCACGTTAAGTCAGATGCTGAATGATGTTGAGGAGTTCTTCTCCGCTGCGAGCAGGCTGCACCCCGAGTTGTGCAAGTACAACAAAGTCTGGAGCTGCAATCCATACAGTGCAAACGTCGTCGTCATCATCATCATCATCATCATCATCATCTCTCTCTCTCTCTCTGTGCCCTTCCTCTCAGTCTCTCTCCCTCTCTCTCTAATCCAGCTGCTCATTTGGCATCAGAGCAAAGAAATAAATGAAGTGCTTCAGAAGAAGAGAAGCTTCACTTGGGGGATTGTGGGTAGAGGGAGTGCGATGAGGATTTGGTGAGGGGTTTTAAAAACAGTTTATTTAAATGAGTGGCTTCTTTTTTGGCTTGTGGGACTTTAGGCTTAAGGCCACTACCGTCCAATTATGCTTCAATGGTTGTGGACTTAATCAACGTGGGCACTTGGAAGTTATTTTCTTTGTAGCTCTATTTAGTTTGAAAAGGAGTGTTTAATCTTTTTAAGTGTAAAAGAGAAAAAAATACAAGCTCTCTGTTATCTGTAGTCATGTTGAATAGAAAATAGAAACCAAAAGATAAACTTTAGAGACAGACAAATTAGAATAATGCTTTTACAATAATATATGAAGACAGAGAAAAAGAAATGTCTGATTAATGGCTGCTCTATTTACCTTTAAAGAGACTGACTGACTTTACTAATCGTTTGTCAGGGGAGGGACAATTCTTTCTTAGCTTAGCACAGAGACTGGAGACAAAGGGAAACAGTTAGCTAGTCTTTGTCCAGAACCTCTGCAGCTCACAGGTTCTAACTTAGAATCATTAGCACGACTCATTAGCTGTCATCAGTTTCTGCTCTCACGTGTCACTGACTTCACTTTTTAGCTTGTTTATCCATGGTATAAATCATAAAAACCATATCTTAACCAAGAAAAGGTTTTAAAAAATCGTAAGGAATGACCAATAAATCATAATTTTTCCAAAAAGTCCTGACTCCATAAGTCCAAAAGTCAAACTTATTCTCAAATAGATGGTAGCCCAGGTATACACACACACACACACACACACACATTCCCTCTCTGAACTCGCCCCCTCGGTTGCTCAGGGATGACCCATGTAGTTCCCATGACAACAAATCCCAACTTGAAAGAGTGACCAGAAGAATGCAGCCGAGGCACCGTGAGGAGAAACCTGCAGAAACCAGTGTGCAACATGCTCTTTGCTCCTCACTGGTTTGCATCACTGAGCTTCAGGAGAGATGGAGGCTGGTTCATCTACAGAGGTAACTTCCTCTGCACTGGACTGAACACGCGAGAACTCTCAACTGTGGAGAAATGATCACAGTATTTACACAACATGTTCCGGTCACGAAGCTACAACTTACAAGAGGCTAAATAAAAAGCTAAACAACGATTTTACAGGTTGATCATTTAATCCCAGAGACTTAGAAGTATATGTCTGCTTAAAGAAATGTTTTCACTTTGTATCCTCAAAAAACAGACTACGTCAAAATTTGCAATGGTTGTAATGTCAGGTGCTAACTCGAGATAAATGTATCACTGTGTTAAAACAGGTTGCATCACGCAAGCTAGTTCTTATTTAGAGATTACTTTTAACTAAATATTGTTAGGCTAATATCCTGGGCTAACTGTTGCATAGCTAATTGAACAAACCAACAATGCAAAAGACTGAAATACTCAAATATTCACATTGTAGATCACATTTGGGAGATTCTTTTAAAAAATGTAACTTAAATGATAAATCTAAACCCAAATCATTTCAATTAGTTTGCAGTTCTTAGTCTTTCTCCTATTTGCTCTTGATTGGAAGGTACTAAAACTTTTCCAAAAGCAATTTTAGCCCAGTCTTTCAGTTTTTATTAGACTATTTTTCAAGTTTTAATTGTGTAAGCTGATTAACTACATCACTAGTTGGAAACTGGTTAGCAATTACCACAAACTTAACGTCATTTGCAGGTAGCTGATGCAACTGAATCCAGCTTTTGCCGCAAGCGAGACTGTGACCTTCTGGTTCCAGATCAGCCCGATTAACCACAGACCCAAACACCACCCTGCCACCTGTAATTCAACAGCCTCATGCCATCTCTGTGCTACATCTGAGGAGCCTGGAGTCAAGTCACAGACAGCACACGTTTTCACAGCAGATGGTCGGACGATGCTTCTGCAGCGTTGAGATGCTGGAGCAGCAAGAGATTAAACCAACAGCTGATGAAATAATTTCAACTCAAGGTCCACTTACTAATCATATTAATGTTCTGTTCAAGAGTCCTATTGAGAGGAGACGTGTGCTGTACCAGGACCCTGAAACTTAAGCAGTTCCATTAAAATTAGCAATAATTCTATTATGAACAGCTTCTTAGTTCTGTAAAAAAATGGTCTAACAATCCATGAGATATAATCTGCTGATGAGAACTTTGTGATACAGTCAAAAGCTCCAGTGACTGGACCTTCAGCCAAATGAGAAACTCTCTTGGAGTCTATGTGAAATACACAGAGAACATAATGTACAGATTACATAATATTAATTTGACTACATGATAATCCTGAGAATGCAACTGACAATCTTTAAATCTTTAATCAATCTGTTGATTATTTTGATCATTAGTCCAAAAAAAATGCCTAGTGATTAAAACTCCTTGTCATTTTTAAAACTATCAACTCCAGTTAGTGTGTTTTGGACAGAATAACCTTTTGATTAAAAATTACTAAATACTAAATAATGATAACGATGTTAATCTTACAGGATAAATGATCTACAATCTAATCTAATCTGTCAGCTGAGTACAGGGAAGAGTAAACCTAAACTGTTAACCGTATAAAAATCCTCATCATCATTTCCAAACGTAGCTCCAGCTTCTTGCACTGTTGGTTAAACAACACAAGCATTTTCACAACATCCTCTTGGGCTTGCAGAAACATTTCCCACTGTTTTCTAACATGTATATGACTTATACTGTAGAATGAGTAACCAAGGAAACAATCAGCAAATTAACAGTGATAACAACACAGACGTTGCTCTTTCACTGAAGTGCAATTGAACAACCAACGACAATAAAAGTATAAGAAAATGTTTAGTGCATCGAAGGGAACATTGAAAACTCGGCTGAAGCTGCGGTGCAACTTAGGTGATGAAGAGCAAGGCTAGTTCCAGTCCACTTGCTCCTATAGCCTGTGCAGCAGTGGCCCTAAAGAGATACTTTGTCATAAATGAGAGAGATGTCAGGTTGGATTACGGTCTAGGTGCAGAGCTTCTGTGTAAACGCCTGGTTAGTTCATGATGAGGAAGCCTCCGCCTTATCCTCCTCCTCCTCCTCCTCCTCTCTGTCATTGCTCCAGTGTAATGTACATCCTGATCTCACTGTAACTGAGATGCTGTATTCCTCAGCTTCCTTTAAAAAAAAATGGAGGAGATTGTTGCAAACAGTGTACAGACCTTTTTTTTTTTTTTAAATGAAACCTCCCAGTGGTTGAACAGTGTGAAGAGATGTGGTTGTGTTGAGGGGCAGTGCAGGGTGAAGCCTAGTATGGCGTTTGTTTAAAAAAAAGAAGAAGAGAAATAAAGAAATAGAAAAAGGCTGCTGGTTGGTGGATGTGTTCCATGATAACAAAAAAAGGGCAGAGCGATGCAAACACAGTTCTGTAGTAGCCACGGCTTCGATGGAGGCTGGAGCTGTGCAGGACTGCGAGATAAACGAGTGGAAACAAAGAAAAAGCGAGGATGCGATGCAGAAGCCAACAATGCACCTACCTTGATGTTGTCAGGAGGAGTCCTGTGTTTCCTGGAGCTGCTTTCATTCAGGGGGTGGGTGGGTGGGGGGGGGGTAAAGTGTCAAAGGCGGACAATGTTGAATCGGTGGAGTTTAAAAAGAAAAAAAGAAAAACACAGGAGAAGCTAAAGGCTCAGTCCAGTTCTGCTCGTTCTCTGTGATGTCTGTGTCTGGTCCTCGCTGCTGCTGCTGCTGCTGCTGGGGGGAGAAACGCGTGATGTTACGTTAGCACAGCGGCTAACATCACCCGCAACGACGTCCTACCGCAAACCGCAGAGAGGAGAGACGCCATCCTCATATTTCCCCCGTCATCCCGCGGTGTTTGGCTGAGGATTAGGAAGAAAGCGAAGAGGAAGGATGCTCCGAGGCAGGTCCTTTCACTCCTGCTGCCTACGGAAGCTCGGAGGGTCCACACACCCCTTCGCCTTTATTTTTGTTTTCATGTGATAAATAAAAAATTATTCTATTATTTTGATATATTTAGTTCACATTGCTTTCATAACAAACCTCACAAGGCAGTACAAATATTTAAATGTTTTTAGATTTCTTACATTCTTAAAAGATTTTATAAATGAAATACCCTGTACATATATTCTTCATTAATCTTAACTGTACATGATTTAAGTCTGTATTACTTCCCTCAGTTCACCACGATCACTTTAATCATTCAGTATTTATCTACGTTCTTTCAATCAGGTTTCACAGATGTTATCTTGTTCACCATCCTTTTACACTTCTCTTACTTTATAATTTTGGCTTCACAGCAATATCCACACCTATGTATGATCTGGTCCCATATTTTAAAGTTTATTGAAACTTATCTAAGTTTAAATCTGTACAAAAAATTGGGAAAATCAATTTTATGTTGAGCCAACCTGCTTGGTTTGGTCCTGGTAAACAAACACATTTCTCACATATTGTGTGGATTTAACATCCACACAATATGTAGCACGTGTTTAAAAACAGAGGTGGACATTTTTTTCTCAAGGAAGTAAAAATGAGAATGAATGAATGAAAATGGTCCTCAATTACTGAAATAAAACTTACAAGGTTTTGTCCTTCATGTTTCTAATATCTTCATCGTGTTTGATTATTATATTTATTGATAAGACTTTATACCATGGACATTTTAGATTAATAATGATGTTAGTTAAGAAGAGTCTCTTTGAAATTTGAATGACTGAATTGTTGATTTTGCATTTAAATAAATTACATCACAAAAAAAACCTCTTATCATAACATTTTTCTAATTAACACTTTTTAGAGGTTTATTTTCAAAGTTTGTATGTTTGCTCTACATCTCATTCACTCAACTGATTAGATTCATCATTGACTCTTTATAATCAACATCACTATTTGTTTGGTCTTTAAATTGGAAATGTATGTATGTACAGTACCAGTTTTATTTTAGCACCACAGATGTTGTGGTGTTCTGCTCCATCTAGTGGAAATATGAAGAAACGCACGTTGACTGCATGGAAACAACTTAATCGTGAACAGATCCACTTCAATCCATTGGCTCGTGTTTAAAAGACAAGTGCAAACAAGAAAAAAGAGGAAAAGTTATATTCAGTTGAATCAGAGATCTTGATTGGACCATTTTATTTTTCTCAAGGACATTAATGAAGCCAGAAGGAAGATCTGTTTTTCTTATTATACACAACGTCAAAAACATCAGTTATTTTCTGATCACCATCACATCAACAAAGAAAACACACAGTACCAACTACAGTCACTGAAAGCCAGGGGTTTGGTACGGAGCCTGGTGCAGTTTTATCTTGGTTTAATCATAAAACCATCGTAAAGGGGAAAGATGATTCTGCAGTCGAGACACAATTGAGAGGTCGGGTCTACATATTCTTTCGTCTACTCAGCCCCCCCCCATGTTAGAATCAACGTTTGCTATTCACTTTCAGAGCTTCACAAGGAGAGTCAAAGAAAGATTTCAGACAATTCACAACGAGCTGTGGTCTGTCACCCATGTGGAATGATGCCTAAAGAACAAAATGTGTTTCTAAAGATGTCACCAACAAACATGAGACTGAATATTGCAGCATTTTGCACTCGGTGTCCACATCCACTCTATTCTACTGTCAGCTGGCAGCCAAAGGTTCAGGAAACCTCATGAAAAATAACTTGTTTACCCAGATTTCTTAGTTACCATTAAAGAAATCCACCTGAAACACTGTACAGCAGCCAGCTGACAGTAACATGAAGAGTAAAGAGCTGTGTTGTGATATACCAGGAGTCAATGCGCACTCTACACACACACAAGTCAGATTTACACACACAAAGGAATGTTAGAAAACATATAGGAAAACAGATGTGAACAGTTTACATTTGATATTAATCTCACCTGATGATTTTGGTGGAAATGCATTTTTAAATCTGTGAGTTGATAAGGTACAAGTCCATAATTTTTACCCAGAGTCTTGGACATCAGAGCACCTGAGATTGCTAAAAATACACGTCAGCGGACAAGTGCATCAATACGGTAATATTTTCTGAAAGACTTCACGCACTTACAATCAAGTTTAAGTTAATAATGCTTTATAAAAATAAATGATTCCCCTTTCCAGTCTAAAGACAAGGCTGAAGAATCTACAGAGAAAGAGGACAGAAGTTTTGTTTGTTGATGTCTAAAACCATCTTCAAAGCACGGCCATCTTTATTTACCTTCTAAAAATCAACTGAAAGACTGAACTCAAAAAGTCGAGGAGACTCTGGGGAAAAACTGGGAGTAGTGGCTGGCAGCTACGTTCAAGAACCTCATGGATTTCAAATGAAGAAAGTGAATGACAGGATGACATATTCAGAGCAGATCTGCTGCTGTGATCCGTCCTCTTACCTCTCTAATGGTTTTTAATTCAAAACCTCAGATTCTCTCTGGATTTTAAAGTAAGAAACCTGACAAATACTGGATTTGGGCCACGATGTGGAGTAAGGACCACTTGCTTATTAGCAAAGAACAGATGCAACAACAAAAAAAGAAGAAGAAAAATGACAGACCCGGCTACAAACACAAAGGGAAACACTCATGCTTCACAGGAAAATAGAAAAAAAGAAATCACGTATCCAGTGTACACACACTCGCACACACACATACACACACACACAAATGTTTTCAAATACTCTAGTGTCATTTTTAACTCATCATTCATCCAAGAGTGGTCGAGAAATGTTTATGCTATGAATATGACTCAAGCAGGTAAATGACTAGACTTGCAACAGATCTTAATGTACAATCTTTCATGTAATGTACGGTTTTGTTTGCGCTAATTGACATTTTCTCGCTCCAACTTCAAAAGGATGCACCAACGACTCTTGAATGAATAATGGTTAAAAAAAACGAGGCAAATAGAGACATTTAAATAATTTACGATGTATATACACAATAATCCATCTTTTTTTTTTCCAGCAGTGTCTTTTCATCTTCTCAGCGTGTGAAAGCCCTCTAGTCGCCCATCTTTACTTTCGACGTCTGTAGGGGAGAAAACAAACAAACATCATATATACAAATTATTAGAGTATTTGAAATTCAAACACAGCTTGAGTCACCCTGTTTCAGGAAAATGCGGCAATGTCGACTTTTTGGGAAATAAGAATTGTTTAGATTAACCAGAGAGGAAAAAACAATTCCGACAGGCATTCTGGGTTTTATTTTCTGAACCTGATCCAAGCCTGATGTTTTCCTTAATTGCAGGCACTTGCAGTATAGAAAAAAAAAAATCTATCAATCAAATAAAGCCCAGCCAACGCAACCTGAACATGCCTGGCATCCGGTTGGTATCCACATTCTCCTTAGCACCGACATTTCTCACAGATTCCTCTCTGACGGAGAAAAGAACAACTGTAAAGACAAACAAAGAAACTCAGCCTGACTCACTCACCTGCAGAATGGCTACAATTACACCAAACAGGCCAATGGCACTGCCGAAGATCTCCACGATGAGAATCTTGACGAAGAGGCTGGCGTTCTGGGCGTCTGCCAAAGCTGCTCCGCTGCCCACGATGCCGACACAGATGCCACAGAAGAGGTTGGAAAAGCCCACAGTCAGACCGGCTCCAAACATGGAGTAACCTTGTAGAACAGAATAAAACGAGTCAGAGATAGTCAGGACTAATCCACATGTTATATGATATGTGTAAATGTACTAAAACTTCACGTTTTTCAGGTGGATATTTCTTTTATGGCTTCACTCAGCAGCTTTATGTCCATTTTCTTACCAGCTTGATAGTTCCTTGCTCCGATGGTCTCAGGGGTTGTTCCACTGAAGTTCTGTAGAATGAAAGATTTATTTTTAGAAGCAACCAACTATCATTGTTTTGCTGTGCAGCTTCCCTCATATCCCATGTGTACAATGCAGTAAGTTATGGATGTATTTTCCTCTGTACAGTTCTGCAGCCTGAAATTCCCCTGGAGACACAAAATGGATAACTTCACTGTTTTGTGGACATTAATGATGAAGACGCTCATTGCTCACCTCGGCCATGTTGCTGATTACAATGGCCATGATGATCCCATAGATCGCAACAGCTTCACAGAAGATGATGCTGGAGGGAGACATAAAAAACAGAAGCAGAAATAAATGGAGTGAAAATAACCCTGTGGATTAACAGTCACACTGCAATCATGGAAACAGAGTAAGAATGTAATTCACTGTCTAACCTGACAGGAACTCATTGATGCTTATTTAATGGCTGCAAAGTGTTGGTTTTGCTAATGACTTGGGATTTTGCTGGAATCATTTTACAAACAAAGAGTTTGCTGATGTTGGATTTAACATCTTGTTCAGTATATACATTTCCAAAATGTATAGAATTGTTTTAAAAACATGTTTTACTGGAGCTCACTTCTTTGTTCAGCAGCAATATTCAAATACATACACAGTTACTGTATAGCTGAGTGTTTTTATGTAATTAAAACATGTGAATGTAAAACAGATAAAGACAGAATGACACTGAAACTAGTTCTGTTCTTTAGTAAACCTACCTAACCAAATTCTTGGTCTTGATTCGTGGAGCCTTGACACCACCACCAATGATGCTTGAGCCTGTGATGTAAATCCCCCTGAAAAACAAAACCAACAATAAAGATATATTTAACCTCACAGAAAATACCAGGTGACGAGGAGGTCGAGGAGGATGAAGCCTCAACAAAGATGGACTGTTCTGAAAACCACAGGGTATGAAAAGTTAAATGCCACTAAAGGGTGGCTGGTGGTTGACTTTACTTTGTCAAATTATAAAACTCCACTTGATGAAGTTATAAAAGATCAATTTGGCCACTGTGGCAGCATATTTTAACTCTCACAATAAACGTAATGTTATTGATTTATTGAAAATAGAGATACATTCAGAGAAAACTAAACGAGCAAGCAGCTCAGACAGTGACATAAAACCAAATATTTTCAGAATGGGTCTTAATGGTGAAACAAATAAGATAAAAGGAACTTCTTTCACATTTTAAATTAGGTGAATGTGACATGCATCATAATCTCGCAAAGGAAAGTGAGATCAGTGATTAAATGTGTAAATCAGAGAGGCGAGAACATTGTCAGGGATAAATCTGTTATCTAACTAGATCAGATCTGACTCTAAAGTGGATAAAATATGTTCCAGCCGTGACACAAGGGCCCACAACATCTGAAGGACTCTGAATGTGTTGCCAACAGTCGCCTGCAGCTGTAGATTCCCGTCCTGCACCGTTGGCTCTACTCAGCCCTTATCAGTAACGGTTCAGTCAGTACAGCTTGTTGAATCCGCATCAGAGGAAGTGGCTGAAAGAGCTCTCTGACTGGCTTTTCAGTCAAGAAAATGTGGGTTTGGGTTAGATAGTTGTAACTGTCCAAATACTAATGGTGCATGTTGTATGAGGGTCACTGACATTATAGCTCGTGATTTAGAAGAGAACACAAGAGTTCCAGTATGACTAAATTTCAGATTTTCCACTTCCTTACTTACACATAATGTTTTCCTGAGTGGTTCAAGAAAGAGGAAATGATAAAAGACAAACCAACCTGTGCCTTACACATTGAAATGACCTGACAGAAGTCTGCAGTATATACACTTGAAACCATGGTTCTTGTTAACTACTCACCAGGCAGCTCCCACCACTGACAGAGAAATGGCCAAACCAATTCCCAGATTGGCCCACATGAAGGGAGAGGTCTCCGTGAGGAACCTGTGAGTAAAGAAGTAGAACTGTTACAATCACAATTACAGATTTAAAGTATCTTGTATAATCAACACCTGCAAGCACCAAAAGTTATTGCAGTATTTAAACTTTGATTAAAAGTAGAACATCAAACTTCAGATTACAATACTGACTTGTTAAGAAACTATTTATTGCTCAATCTCACGCACAGTTCAACCCTCTGAAATTCATTTAAAAAAGGAATCACAATATTGTTGATAATGGAACACAACACACTGGTGTGCTTCCTGTAGTGGAAACCAGGGCCAATATCAAGCTATTTCAATTTCATATCTCTACACATGATGTTTATATTGACCGATTTCTCACACAGCCCAGCGTAACTGTGCTATGTTGTATATTAAATCTGCTCAATAACAAAGTGATTAGTTGCAATTTTACAAACAATTTTTTGCAACCAAGATTGAATTATGTCTTCACGATCTTTTGTATTTGCAGCATAATTGAAAAAGATTAAAACAGGTTTAGTGCTGCTCTATCAAACTATCCAAGGGGGAGGGCTCTGAATCTGTCACAGCATTATAAAGGCAAAATTTAAACCTTGTGAAACTAGTGTTTGTAGGTAGCAGTACGACTGTGCTGCCTTGCAGTTGTGCAATCTGGGAAACTTAGTTTCATTTTGCCACTGCCATAGTGTCAGTTTAGTAGTGTAGCATATCAACAGAAAGTCACACTTGTACTTTGTGAGATAACATTTATTTAAGATTGAATTGTATATGTAGTATAATTTTATCCAAAGATCTATTGAACCTTACATTGTGTTGATATTCAGAGGATTGGTTTGTCAGATTGTTTCGGGGTTTTACTCTCCTGAATGAATCCTGTTCAAATGAATGTTAGGAGCGCACAGCCGAAATCAACAGACCCGAGCAAAATGAAGACTGTGCGTATACAGACAAAATGTAAAAGAGGCTGAAAAGAGGCGATAATAATACATTTATTTAACGTGTAAAAAGGTGACACAGTGTAAGAAAATGTGAGGAAAAGGTGGCGCTACCAGACAAACACACTCTTACACTTCTTTTACTTTGTGAATGTGACAGTGCTTGTGCTGGGACTACTCACCATGCCACATCAAAGCGGAAACCCAGGTCAAATATGGTGTAGCAGATGCCTGAAGAAACAGAGAAACTCTTAATTCACATTAGGAGAAATGTTCAGACAGCACCAGCACACTGAACTGTCAGCCTGCCATGACTCCAGTCCGTGTGCTGCCTGTGTGTCAGTGTGCAGAGGAACCTCTCCTCGGCCTCGTGTGTGCAGCAGAGTCACAGTAACGTGTTGAAGTCGTGCACAGAAGTTGCAGCCTCGGTGCGATTGTTCACTCTCACGTGAAAACTGCTGCAGTTCCCATTTCGGACCCAGTCAGCTGTGTGTGCGAGCTGCAAACCAGCTGACGTTAGCTTAGCTTCGTTACATGGCCTTAAACGTACCAATAAAATAATATGAATAACAACAAGTGAGTCAATAACAACAGAGAGGAGAATGAGTCACCATGCATTTCAAACACTGCTGTCCAGGGCTTGAAGCTGATGATGCTAGCGGTTAGGCATTAGCTAGTTAGCTAGCAGTGGATTACGCTTCTGCTAGCGACATGCTAACAGGCACGGAAGAAAAAGCTGCCTGTTCCGAATGATAACATAATAAACGATGACAGTAAAGTGTTGTAACTTGTATCGTGTCGTCCATTCACCACTGTGCGAGTGTAACCTTGTCTAGCTAGCCGCTAAATTAGCTTGCCAGCAGATGCTAGGTGATAAAACGGAAACAGCCGCAGCCGCTCTGGCTCCATGTTTTAGCCTGGTCCCTAATCACCGCTGTCAAACGCTAAAACTCACGTTTCCACGCAAACACAACGAGCGACTGTGTGATAACTACTTCACGAGTCCAGGAAACAAACGCTTCCGATCATTTTATTCCACATTCGGGCTCGTTTTCAGGGGGAAACCATGATCTCACCGACGATGAGTATGGTGCTCCAGAAGGCCAAAGTGACCCCCGTGTAAAGAATGGCGTGTCCGTTCATCATCCACTCCAACAACATGTATCCGAGCTGCAGGGTCGGCGGGAGACTGTGGCTCCGATGTCCGATCAGACGCCACAGAGGTAAAGGTGGAGAGGAACCAGAGTGTGAGGAGGCGCTGTCAGTCTGATGATGGAGGAGGAAGAGGAGAGTCCGTCAGCTGATCCTCACACGGGCATGTGACTGAGGAGCAGGGCCGCGTCCCCTTCTGCGGAGTGTTCGCGTCCTAACAAGGAAACCACGAAGGTGACATCCACACACTGCAACTCGGTGCAAGTACTCAAGTACTGTACTCAGCGTGTATGTGGAAGGGTGTATATAATGCACATACTCAGCATTTTTTAATTGAATTGATTTATTTTTATTCTGTTGCCTTTTTTAATATTATAATTACATATATACGGTGTGTCATAAAATCCTCAGAATTGTTTCTTCATTATTTTCTTGAGACTAATTCAACTCGATGTTTTTAGTCGGGGCCTCATATCACTTTTGAAATGTTCAACCAAAGAGATGTTACCCTCACAATGTCTATTCAAGCCAAAATCAATGATTTGTCAATTACACACGAAAATATAAATCATATAAAACTTTTCTGGGACGCACACTTTTAACTAGTCATAGTTGTAATGGAATGCGTCCATGAAGGCTGCATTCCACACGGATTGCAGATAGTGGACACTAGATGTCCCTGTTGATCAGCTTGGTTTGTACTTGTGAGCAATCACTCAAGCTTGTATGCATCACTTCTTTCTTTCTTTCTTTCTCTCTTTCTTTCTCCAAAAAATCAAAACAACAACAATAATAATAATACAATCATTGTTATTACAACTATCTCTTGCCCTCTGTCTTCTCTCCTCCCTCTCTCTTCTCTTACTCCCTCTCCCCATCACCAGGTGTTGGCCTGGTGTACTAATTGTGTGTCATCTCTATAATATTGTGAGGTCTCAACCTGACTATGTAAAGAGAAAATGTATATTGTGGATTGTTCGCTGTACAAATAAAATCAAAAAGATCCAAATCAAAGATCTTACACGATTGAGCCACGCTGGACAGAAGAAAATGTCACAAGAAGAAAATATTTCTACATTTCTCAGGGAGCTGCGACGTCCCTGAATGTCAAGTGTGACAGGAAAACACTTTGCAGCTGCAAAACAAAAATACAATTGAAATACAATCTATTGAAGAAACAGTAAACCACCAAGCTGTGGGTTGAATGCTTCTTTCTTCTGGTTCTTGAGAGACTGATTCAAAATTGACAGAAAGAAGCTGCAGCCTCTTTCATAACAAACACTTTCTATCATTCTCAGCCGTCCATTCTAAACCGGGATCTTTGGAATGGATAGATCCTCCGCTCCATGAGCGTGCAGCTTCTGTGCAGAGAAAATCCCACATGTTTATTAACTGCTGTTGAAATTGTGAATGTAGAACATTTTGAGTTTATTTACAACTGTTGAAATGTGTTTTGCATCTAACCTGAGGCTGTTCTTCTCCACAAAGCCTCCCTGTTCTCTGCCCAGCTGTCAATCTACATTGCAACAAATAAATCACATTTCTAGGCTTTATATTTTGATCTTGTAAAGTTTCTGATAACCTTTTCATTTCTGCGTTGATTCATTTATCACAAAACTTGATGTTATTTGATTCAATGTATAAAAGACAACAGAACAAATGTTATCCACAGGAATCAACTTAAAATAGAGTGGACATCAATAAGAACAAAACATTTTTATTGTATATTTCAGGAAATGTTCCCACATTGTTTTACATCTGCAGCTTCACACCCTTTTTTATCTCAATCTCGTCTAACTCGAGTCCAGGACAGGAATACCCCACACATCTTAACCCAATTATTGTTCATTCGGACTGTGAAATCATTGGAATGTAAACATGTCTGTACTCAAAAGGAGACAGTGACAATGTTTTACAAGCTGGAGCTGGTGTCGTCTGTAACGCCGTCAGGGAACAGATGACTATGTCATGTATCTGAAAGCTTGCACTGGAAAAGAACAAAAACTAATACAACACTTGCAGCATCATTTGTAATATTTTAGATGATAGATTTCGCTGTTTTCTTCCTCAGCATGCACACATCTAAAACAATTAAAAATTCATCTCATTTTGGATTAATCAGTGCCTCTTTGCCAAGGCTTCGCCTTTAATAAATCACACAGCGCCACTTCTGTTTATGCAGCAGCACCATATTGTTCATTAATTGTCCAGGGTACACATCACTCTGGTGCAACCACAAGAACCAGGAAAGCTGCTTATGTAAGTCTGCATAATTCTTAACCTAACTATGTGTGTGTGTGTGTGTGTGTGCTTGATTAAACTTCAATCACCAACCTCTTTGTCCACCTCTGCTTTACTTCTGCTCGACAGCCTCCGGGGTCAGATTGACCTCATGCTCTTTCAGCATGTTTTCATTATAACTTCACTTTTCATTCAGATTTGTTCGCTGTTCAATTCCAGCAGTTTAATGATGTTTTTAACTTGAGCAACATTCAGGCTTTTAAAATTAGTTTGGACACAAAATGAAACAACATGAGCTGCAGTCTAAACTTCTTTTGGTATTTGGAATCAGCTGTTCCGACAATGATAACTTGCGTCAGTACTCAGCAAATTTAAAAGGTTAGATGCATCCAGTGGTTTCTGATCTGATATTGGTATTGAACTGTGACATCATAATATTGGTGTATAGACTATAAAAAGGAAATCGTTCCGATATAATTATATAATAATTGGGTGACGTCCTGTGTTGCTGAAGTGCATTGTGTTTTCTGCGTACAGCAGGACATTAATGCCAGAGGAGGCAGAGGCAGCTGGAGACTCTGTGTTCATCTGGTCGTACATTTTAATATTTATTTCCCGTGTTTCTCTGTAGCACTGCACTGGTAGCTACCTCGGCCATGAAAGCTGACTGTATTATGTTTCCCAAGCATCAAATTGTGATTGTCGTTGTTATGACGACAGCACCAGCTTCAAGCGTTGGGCATGTTAAACTTTAAAGCAGTGCACACGTGTGAGTCACAATTACGCAAACGTAGCAGTGGTGAACAATTTCCTTCCATTCACTTCCAATCTGTTAGAGCGGGCGAGAACATTTGCTCCCTGTGGTGAAGAAAAACGCAGAATGGATTTGCATGAAGTCCAACGTTGGTGAACTTTGACCTGCGATATTCGCATCACTTTCCCAACTTCTCCATCATGAACATGCAAAGAAAACTATACCTGACTGCACATTAAAATCTTGACCCCATCAGCCCTTATGTTAATGCACTGCAGCTTTAAACAAAACACCATATTGTCCAAAATGACCTGTGCTTATTCAGGGCACGTTTCCACATATCAATAGCCCCGAGGCCTTTGTGTGTATGAATGTGTTTACACAATATTCTGTAAAAGACTCCTCCTTTTCATACAGCTCTGTTTAATGCATCCTCATGCCCCTTTACCAAAATGTATTAATAAAATCATTGAAATTATGTCATGTAAAAAAAATCATCATATCAGTGCCCAAAGTTATATACACGATGTTGATGTAAACGCTTTTTGTGAAATCTTAAATATGAATCACGCACTTTTATCATTTTGAAATATATAGTTGAGTCTATAACTTTGGTGAACTGCTGATGAGTTTTTGTTTTTTTGTGGTTTGAAGAAATGTTGTTCAGGCGGCAAACACGGCTCCAGAAAAGGTTAAGAAACCTAAAACTGTGAGCAAAATGATATGAAACAGATGCAGATCTTCAAGAGGCTTCTGGCTTTTTCTAGTTAAGGTTCAAAAGCAGAAAATTTCGCACTGTGGAATAGGCTTTACAAATAAAAATTTGATTTGATTCGAAACAGCAGGACAAATGATCTGAACAGTGTTTGATTTCATAGCCAAGATAACATCAGAAGGGAGTTCAGCTGATGAATATGTATAGAAATAGATGACATTAATTTTTTAAATCTCATATTGTTCTTCTATGCTTTCATTCCAGAAACACTAAGACAACGGATTCTGTCGATCGAAATAAAAATTGATTTTTTTCTAAAATGACATGAAATCTCCTGAAAATTAACAAGAAATAGTTTGACAGAGTGAAAACATGTCCTTTCTTTTCTCCTCATTTCATCCATTTCCATCCTGCCTCTTTTGTCAGGTGGGAAAATGGTCCCAATTTATCAACGCACCATTTATTCACATATGCAATGTGCATGGACTTCATTTCACATCACATTAAGAGGAAGCACACGGTGTCAGACACCGTCTAAATACAAATGTCTCCTTAAGATGCTGACAGATGCCAAGGGTTAATAAAAGAGACGAGACGTTGAGTAAAAATGTTCCATTCAGGACCATTAACAAAGCTAAACTTAATTTGTTTACATGCATGTTATTCTCTGGCATACCTGATGCACTAGAAAAGGGACGTAAACATGAATATAATAGCTCTTCCTCTCCTCCTCAAATGTACTGGCAGATTTGTTTTTGAAATATAAGGAACATAACACTGCCGCTCATAAAATTAACTTTAATCAGGATGTAAGCTTCCACTCCAACTGCAGCATGTACGTGAAATTTCCCCAGACTCATCTCTGTGTGTGTAATCATCACTCATTGACATCAGTGGGTCTATAATTTTGTGTGTGGATGCTACAGATGCAGCTCCCCTTTACATAACAAGTAATCAGTCCATCCAGCTCAGAGCCACACAAATGAACTATCTTTGGAAAAGTACATTGAGTTTCAATGGCAGGCAGAAAAAAAAGGCTTGGGCATTAGTTACCGGCTTATCAACTGTGCTCATGTAAGCGTGTGTCATATCGTTCTGTCCAACTCGGGCTCTTTTGTTTGTCCGTTTCCTGGCTCTGATCAGGAAAACACACAAACAAATGTAATCTGTCTTTTTGTTTTTGATTTTACAAAACAAACCCAGCTGTGAACAGACTTTCTCATGCATGGGTGAAGGGTATTAATGGGAAATGTTTCTATGTGTGTATATGTAAATGAATAGTGGGTTACATACAAAACATTTTGCATTGGGTCCCATTGATCGGCTCTGCCAGCAGCCGTGACACGGTGGCCGGGGCTGCACTGATATCATATGGGGCAACAGCAACAGTCCACTGAAAGTTATTTTTCTAACCAATAACTCGAATGTTTGTTTTGGGCGTTTGAGGTATTTTCTTTAGGTTACAAGAGAAACCAAACCTGTGGCGGCTGCAGGACGATCGATCCTCTGAGCAGTTACAAGTAAAATCAAA